CCCTCCTGGGGTGACTGCTTAAATTAACACAGGTGGGACTTCCCTGAAGGTCCAGTGATTAAGAATACATCCTTCCACTGAAGCAGGGTGGGGGGCGGCGGGGGGTGGGGGGGCACTAGTTTGTAGTTTGATCCCTGGTCGGGGCACTAAGATCCTGCAAGCCGAGCAGCCAAAAAAATTTTTAACACAGGTGATGGACATGAAATGCCCTTGCAAGCCTGAAAGCCATAGAAATTATCATTACACTTTATTCACCCACTCATTTGTTTGTTCTTTCATTCCTCCAAATGTTTACTGAGCTTATGTGTGTACCCACTGATGTAACAGTGACATGTACAGAGATGGCCCCCATCTCAGGGTCTTATGTGTTCATGGGGAACACCTCCCTCCTCAAAAAAAATCATGATGTCGGGTAGTGATGTCCTTTCTAGGAAGAAAATTAAAGCCATAGTTGGTCATGGGACAGATGGCAAGGACGCTCTTATTTCAAAGCAGTCTGGAAAGTTCTCTAGGAAGAAGTGACATCTCTGCAGAAGCCTGAAGGAAAGGAGGGAGTGAGCCATGCTGTTACCTGGGAAGAGCATTCTAGAAGAGGGAACAGCAAGGGAGAGGCCCCTGCCAGGAGCAGGCTTGGTCTGACTTCCTCTTTCTACCAGCTTGACTTCTGCCCCCTGTAGCCTGCTGCAGTCAGCTCAGGCCCCAGTTTGCTCAGCCCAGTGGCACCTTCTCACCTCCCTGGTCCCTGCCGCACCTGACAAGAGTTGGACGACTTCCAGTAGTGACTGGGTACCTACCCAGTGCCAGGAACGATGTTTAAGGACAGATGTGGTCCCTGCTCTCCAGGTGCTCACAGTCTCCTGGGGGACAGGTAGGAAACGAATAAACGTGTGATACAGACTGTGGCCAGACAGGGCGGGGACGGACTCTGGTGAGGGAAGGCCTCTCTGAGGAGTCAGCTGGGCAAGGTGGGGAAGACGTCGGCACAGACATCAACACGCAGTAGTCCCACCTCACAACTGCCTGTCTTCTCCTGCCGTGTTTCTAAACGGGAATCTGAGTGTATGTTAGGCCTAGAACCGGTTTGTGCGTACTACCGAGCAGCAGAGAGCACTGCTGTGGATCAGCAGAAGGAATGCTGGCCTTGGAACTGAATGAACCTGGATTCAGGCCTGGCTCTGATTCGGTGACCTCGGGGGTGGGGGTGGGGGGTCACTTCATGGCTCATGTTTCTTTATATGTAAATAGGAGGATTCAGGTGTTCCCTGACTAGCACATCAGGTGTTTGTTGTAAAGATTTCTTTTTCTTTAATTTTTTTTTAATTTTTAAATTTAATTTTCTGGCTGCGCTGGGTCTTCATCGCTGGCACAGACTTTCTCTGGTTGTGGCGAGCAGGGGCTACTTTCTAGTGGGGGTGCCAAGGCTTCTTGTGACTCGTTGTGGAGCACAGGTTCTAGGCGCTCTGGCTCAGTAGGTGTGGCACACGGGCTTAGTAGCCCCGAGGGACGTGGAATCTTCCTGGACCAGGGGTTGAACCTGTGTCCCCTGCATTGGCAGGCAGATTCTTAACCACTGGACCACCAGGGAAGTCCATGTTGTAAAGATCTCTTAATCATTTAGAGGCAGAGGCCCTGTAAGAAGTGTGTGAGGGGACATCCTCGGTGGCCGAGTGGTTAGGATTCTGGGCTTTTAACTGCCGTGGCCCAGATTCAATTTCTGGTCTGGGAACTGAGATCCCACAGCCATGGGTTGTTTCCAAAAAAAAAAAACAAAAAAAAACCTGTAATGCGTAACGTGGCATTATCAGTAAGTAGAGGTACAGAGAAGGCGATTATCTTGATAAAGGAAATAACTGGATGGTGAGTCTGAATGTTTAAAATGTTTGGAAGCAAATGATGGGGAAATGAGGAAAAAGCATTCCAGGTGTGATATGAGAGCTTGATGAGTTTGAGAAACAGCAAGACTGGACCGTAGTGAGTTGGGGGCAGGGGCACAGGAGGGAGGTGGGTGAAGCCAAGGTTGGTAGGCGCGGAAGTCGTGTCAATAACCAGGAGAGGGCTTCCCTGGTAGCTCAGAGGTTAAAGCGTCTGCCTGCAATGCAGGAGACCTGGGTTCGATCCCTGGGTCGGGAAGGTCCCCTGGAGAAGGAAATGGCAACCCACTCCAGTATACTTGCCTGGAGAATGCCATGGACGGAGGAGACTGGTGGGCTACAGTCCGCGGTATTGCAAAGAGTCGGACACGACCGAGCGACTTCACTTTCACTAAAAAAAAAAAAAAAAATAACCAGGAGAGTCTTGGATTTTCCACAAAGAGCAATAGGGAGCCATTGAGGGTGTTTCAGATGAGGGGAGGGGCACGATTTTACTTTTACTACTCATTCAGGGGCTTCCCAGGTGGCGCAGTGGTAAAGAATGCATTTGCCAATGCAGAAGGTGGCAAGAGACTTGGGTTCGATCCCTGGGTTGAGAAGATCCCCTAGAATAGGAAATGGCAACCCACTCCAGTATTCTTGCCTGGAAAATTCCGTGGACAGAGGAATCTGGCAGGCTACAGTCCATGAGATCGAAAAGAGTTGGACACAACTGAGCAACTCAGTGCGTGAGCACACACACAGACAGACACACACACCACACCACCCCCATCCATTCAGCTGCCAGGTGGAGAATGGGTTGAGTAGCAGGAACGGAGGAGGCACGAGAGGCGGTGACACGGGAGACTGCTGGTGGCTTGGACGAGTTAATCACTTGAAATGTAGCCAATGCTACATTCGGAGAATCTGAATTTTTAATGTTAATTAACTAAAGTAGCCAGGTGGGGCTAGTAGCTACCCTATCGGACAGTGCAGGTCTAGAAAGATGTTCACAGAGGTCAGGAGAGGGGATAGTTTGGGGACGTGTGTGGAAAAGGGAGGAGATTGGCTAGAGTAGCATGTTGGCCCGTTTTCCACCATCTTAAAAGGACTTCTGCTTTCTGGCGATGAGGGCAGGAGGACCCAAGTATGTAGGCACAGACTGTCCCTAACCCCTTCTCCTGTGCTGAGGGTACGTGGGCTGAATGACCGCTTAGACAGTCCTCCTGGACCAGCATCGTTAGAGCTGGGCTCCTGGCCACTGCACACTGTCAGGGGACCCTGGGTTGACGGGGAGCCGGTGGGAAAGATGGCAGCTGTGCCGTCACCAGCAGGACATGGCCTGTCTGTGCTCTCCAGAGAGGCCGCTTGTCCTGAGAGGCCTTGGGCAGACAGGGGTCAGAGGGCAGGCTGGTGTCACCCTGGTACCCACAGGCTAGAAGGCAGGATGGAGATTCCTGGGCTCGGTGTTCTATGTTCTCTGGAAGGAAGTCACTGCCTGAGTCTTTCTGCAGAGGTGGCCGGGGGTCACCCATGGGCCTGAAAGACTCTCACTTCTCACTCTGGGAGTTTTTAAAAATTCCTGAGCCAGGGAGGAATGTTCAAGAGGGAGGGGACATATGTACACCTATGGCTGGTTCATGTTGATGTCTGGCAGAAACCAACACAGTTCTGTAAAGCCATTATCCTTCAATTAAAAATAAATAAAATTTTTTTAAAAATTACTGAGCCATGGGGACCACATGCAGTCTGTAATCCCAGGCCTGCTTCTGAAACAGAGAAAAAAATTCTGCAGGACGTTATTGGTGAGATCCGAACACAGCTAGTAGATTGGATTAGAAGAATACAGTCTCAGTGTTGGTTTCTGAGTTTCATATTTGTACTGAGGTAAGTGAGAAGACGTCCTTGTTCTTAGAAAAACCGCACGGGAAATCTCCGGAGTTTGGGGCGGGGGTGGGGAGAAGCAGCAGCCAGCCAAAGGTCTGCAATTACTTCTCACGTGGTTTAAAGTGTTTATATACAGATAAAGCAAGTGGACAAAACATGAGGCCCCAGTGAATAAGGGAGCAAGGGAGTTCTTTGCACTCTTTTTCAATTTTTCTGTAAGCTTGAAACTGTCAACAAAAAATTACTATGTCTTTTTTTTGAAAAAAACCAAGCCCACTGTTGCCCAAGCCCAGGCTTGGGTCCTGATTCAGTTGGTGCTGGGAGGGGGCTGATATAGCAGAAGCCATCAGTTCCCCTGGTGACTCATGTGGTGCAGGGTTGACAACCAGCGCTGGGTAGGCCCAGGCAGGCCAATGCCTGTCATCCCCAGCAGTCCCCCCACCCTCCTATTAGCATGGGCCAGAATGGCAAGAGGAGTGTAACCAGAGGCCATGCCCCTCTCAGCCTGCGGCAGCAGGGGCACCCTCCACGGTTAACTGCAGTGTCCCGGGCCCACCCAACCCCACTGGTCTGCAACCTTGGGAGGGGAAAGGTTCGGTTTCTTCAGAGTCTGAGCCTTAAACCTGAGCATCGGGGATGAAGACGGAAGCAAGGGGTGGTGATCATCACCGACATGAGTGCTAGCCGTTTCCCAGCACTGACCCTTCAGCCAGGCCCATCTCTGAGCGCCCCAAGAGCACCGCACAGCTTTTATTTTTGACTGTGTTGTGTTTTTGTTGCTGCATGGGCTTTTTTTTTCTAGCAGGGGCAACTCTTTGTTCCAGCACGTGGGCTTCTCACTGTGGTGGCTTCTGTTGTTGGGGAGCACAGGTCTAGGCCATGTGGGCTTCAGTAGTTGCAGCGCCCAAGCTCTAGAGCACAGGCTCAATAGTTGCGGTGCACGGTGTACGGGTTCAGTTGCTCTGAGGCATGTGGGATCTCCCCAGATCAGGTATCAAACCTGTGTCTCCTGCATCAGCAGGTGGATTCTTTACCACTGAACCCACCAGGGAAGCCCCACCGCTTTTCTCTCTTGTAATCTTCCCTACGGTCCAGGACTGTGGGCTGTCTCCTCTGTTTTACAGTTGAAGAAATCAAGGCCCAGAGACACAGAGTCAATTGCCCAGGAGACCTCCAACCTCTAACCCATCTGAGCCCAGGCAGGGGACTCGGGTGGAGAAGTAAGGGGTACCTCCCTGACCCCCACCTGCTGTCTGGTTTCAGGGCAGGAAGATTACGACCGGCTGCGGCCCCTGTCCTACCAGAATACCCACCTTGTGCTCATCTGCTATGATGTCATGAACCCCACTAGCTACGACAATGTTCTCATCAAGGTGAGGCCCTGTCTCCCAGCCCCACCTGCCTCCGGAAGTGGGGCCATAGATGGGGCTCTAGCCCTGATGCCCGCCCTCCCTTCCACAGTGGTTCCCCGAGGTCACACATTTCTGTCGTGGGACCCCCATGGTGCTCATCGGCTGCAAGACAGACCTGAGGAAGGACAAGGAGCAGCTGCGCAAGCTCCGGGCAGCCCAGCTGGAGCCCATCACCTACACACAGGTGACCAGGGGCTCTCCCCACCCCACCCCAAGGATCCTGGGTCCGCATCCACAGCCATCGCGAAAAGCCTCCCAGGCTTTTGGCCTCTGCATCTGGTGTGCCTTAGTGACCTCTTGGGAGCTGAAGACAGCAGGATTCTAAGAATCATATACCCAACTCGTGCTAAAGAACCTGCCTGCCAGTGCAGGAGACATAATAGATTCAGGTTCAATCCGTGGGTAGGGAAGATCCCCTGGAGGAGGAAATGGCAACCCACTCCAGGATTCTTGCCTGGAGAATCCCATAGACAGAGGAGCCTGGCAGTCCATGGGTTCGCAGAGTCGGACATGACTGAAGTGACTGAACATGCACACATGTGTATCTGCCATCCCAGAGCTTACAGGATCTTAGTTCCCCAACCAGGAATTGGACCTGGGGCCACGGCAGTGAAAGCACTGAGTTCTAACCACTGGACCACCAGGAAATTCCCTAAGAATAATAATTTTTAGATATTAATATTGATAGACCACTTATCTGAGCACATTACTTATTTAATCCTTATTACCTTGAGGCAGGCACTGTTACTGCCCCCCCCCCAACCTTTTTTACAGAGTAAAGATTGAGACTCAGACAGGTTAGGTAGCTTGCCCAGGGTCACACAGCTAACCTGAATTGGAGCCAAGATCCCACCCTAGTCACTCTGGCCCCAGAGCCTGAGCCTTTGACCACCATCCTGTCCCATCGCCCCAGAGGCCTGGACGGGCAGGCATGTGTTGGAAAGCAGGGCTCCTTTCAGGAACCTGACCAAACCCTGCAGCCTTCTGGGTGAGGCGCGGCAGAATAAAAGGAACACAAAGGAAAATGAATAAAGTTTAATCAAAAGGAATAGGCATTAATAAATTTGTTAGAAGTATTTTTCTTTCTACTCTAATAGCCAGCTCAGTTGCCTAAACTGTGCTTCTGAGACGAGCGGGGAGAGAGGCATGTGGGAAGCCCTTATGTCTTGAGGCCTTCAACACTTCTCACCAGACTGGCAGACACAACAGACCACCCCAGTTCCTGGCTGAAGTCAGCCCCTGTCTCCACCTCAGTTCGGGGAGAGCGTGAGGTGGAGGCCAGGACGGAGTTCCCAGCAGCCACAGCCCGTGGGCCACACCAAACCAGCCCTTATGACCCACCTGCACAACCTGGAGAGGGCCCTGGCCCCAGGAAGCCCACAAATTCGTGAGTGGGGTCTCAACAAGAGGCACCCCAGGCCCGCGGTCTAATCTCTGCCCCTCCCCCCACCAGGGCCAGAGCGCCTGTGAGCAGATCCAAGCCGCCCTCTACCTGGAATGTTCTGCCAAATTTCGGGAGAATGTGGAGGACGTCTTCCGGGAGGCCGCTAAGGTTGCCCTCAGCGCTCTGAAGAAAGCACAGCGGCAGAAACAACACCGGCTCTGCCTGCTGCTCTGACAGCTCCCGGCAGGGCATGCGGCCCTCACGACAGAACTGACAGGCCCCAGGCCCCCAGGCCCCCGCTGCTGCCCAGACCCTGCCCCTGCCCCAGCTCTCGAAGGGCACTTGGCGTCGGGTGCCTCCAGGACCTAGTGTCTGGAGCCTGTGGCCAGGCTCTTGGAACATTCTGGAACTCTCCTTTCCCAGCTGGAGCTCTGACCACAAGCTCCGCTCCAGCCTGTGTGGTCACAGTGGTGGTGAGGGTGGGGGGTGCTGGACTCGGTCCCTCTGTACCCTGAAACCAGCACTTATCCCCGGCACTCAGGAGTGCCCTCGTCACAACCAGCCCCAGCTGTGTCCCCCCTCTGTACACCCAACAGGTCCTCCAAGCCCATGCCTGAAACAAGAAACAACATCTGGTACGTGGATAAATGTGGACTTGGCAGCCTTCCACAGGGCTCCCAAGCCTGCTTTCCCAAGTCACCCGCCTCCCTGGGCCCCCGAGATAGGCACGGTCGCATCCTCCAGCTTCTCGCTTCCTCCGCCCAGGAACTCGGGCACCACAGTGGGCCTGGGGCCTATCAGAAGAACACAGGCCTCAGCCCTGGACATGGGGGCCCTCCCTCCTCCACTTCATACAGAGGACTTCAGTCTTAGCCTTCAGCTTGGCCACCATCTTTCCAGAGTTGGATGCACAGGGGGGCAGAGAACCTCTCTCTAAATACAAGAAGAATTCCCTGGACCATCTATTTGATCCCTGCTCAGCGTCTGTGACCCTACCCTGGCCACGACTTGCCAGAAACCCGAGATGAAAAGTAACAGCGGCTCTTGAGTGATCTTGGGCAAGTCAGGTCTCTCTACAGATTTCTTTACCTGCAGAAGGATGGCACTGGCTTGTCACCAGGCTGCCCTCTGTCCCAAACAGCCCCCCCTGCTGCTGAGGTGTGGAGACCACACACCAAGGCCATCCTGGCCTCCTGGGAGATTAACCCCCAGCACACCTTCACTGAACCTCCTGAAAGGTCTGGGGTCCCAAGTGATTCTGATGCCCCAGAGATTGTGAGCTGGTGGTTCCTGAATAAGCTGGGGAATCAGCTTTACCTACTATGAGATCATGGCGTCAGGTGGTTCCTGCCCTCCTTGGTATCTTCTGCCTCTGCCCCCTCCCTTGCCTAGTGCTCTGGCCTCCACTGGGCCTGAGAAAGAGACAAAACTTACCCTACCCCACCTAGGTTTCCCAAGGCCCTGCCATGCCTAGGGGGAGTCAACAGAGCATTCAGTCCAGAGCTTCGTGGACAAAGAAAGGATGGTCTAGGACAGAGGAGGTCCACAAACTAGTCTATGGACCAAATCTGGCCACTGCCTATTTTTGTAAATAAACTTTTATTGAAACACAGCCACGCCCATTCATTTATGCATTGGCTGCCTTTGCCCTCCAACAGCAGACTCGTGTGACACAGACCATCTGGCCCTCAAAGCCTAAAATATTTGCCATCTGGCTCTTTACAGAAAAAAGTTTGCCAACTCCTAGGCTGGGGCAAACCCAAGTTCCTAAAGGGCCAGATGGGAGACCCAAATGAGTGAAGTAGGGTAGGGATGAAAGGAAGTAGTGGGGCAAACTAGAAAGCAAGCCCCCACCCTAGGCAAGGCAGCTCAGCCCAGCCAAATGCTGCTCTGTGGGAATGTTTCTAGATCTTTCCATCTCTCTAGGGAAAGTAGAAATCTGGATTTTTCATGTGGAATCTTACTGGAGGGAGGGGAAATACTGTATTTTGAAAATTTAAACTCCTTCGAGGGCCAGAGCATGACTACAGACACCATCTGTGAACTCTGGCCAACAGATTTCTAGGTAAGTTGTTAAGGGCGCCTGAAGCCCATACGAGGAGAAGACGCAGAAAATGCAACCAAACCTTTTGTCTTCTTCACAGATAGCGAACCTAATGTGAGGTGACCAGCAGGCCTGCCACGACCTTCAGAGGGTGACCTCCACAAAGTGAGCCTGCTCAGACTCGCCTCTCCTCCCCCCCTACATTCCAGAACCTCTGAGGTGAAGGGGGGAAGCCCGGAGCACGGGTGACCTCCATGCTGGCTGAAGTCCCAGCCAAAGCTGAATCTTGTCCCCACTCCCTGAGTTACTCACTGCATGAATCTGGGAAGGTGGGCTGAGGAGTGGGGGTCAGGAAGCAACTCCCCCACAAGAGTGGACCCAAACTTTGTCCGGGGTGGGGGCGGTGGGAGGGAAACACGCCCTCAAACCAACCAAACAGTGCAGGGGTGCCCTCTGGTGGTGACCCTTGGGGAACTCCCCTGCCTCAGGCCAAGCCCTGGTGGCCAGCGACTTGGGAAGCACAATAGCAGGAGGCACAGACCCGACAGTGGTTCTCTGAGAGCTGAAACACCCCGGAGCGCGCCGGAGCTCACAGCAGAAGCGGCGCCCAGGGTGGGAGGCTCCAACCCCAGCGAGGCACGTCTGAAGCCCAAACCTGAGGGGCTCAGTGACAGGATGGGGAACAGAGGGGGTCCCTGAGGCTTAGTTCCCCCCGCCCCCTCCCAGGAAGTCTAACCCAGTCTCGAGAGAGCAGCGGGGGAAGGAGGGCAGCAGATTCTAGGGAAGGGGGCAGGCGATATTAAATATGTCATAAATAGGGAGGATGGGGCCGGCTAATACTGCGCCGACAGGCTGGGGTCACATTCCTCTTGTCCAGCTGGGGACCGGGCCTCGGCCCTGCTCCCAGCGATGCACTGGCCCCTGAGGTCACCGCTGCCAGTGGTCACTGGTGCTGTTGGGGAGAAGATGGGCAGCAAGGACGCCACCTGGGATCCCCTGCAGTCTCAAAGTCCGGGGTCTCGAGGAGCGCCGGCCCCGCGGCTCACGGCTTCTTGGCCTTGCTTCTGTTCTGCTGGAGTTTGGTGTGCACGACTTTGAGTGTGGTCAGGAAGTTGCCGAGGAAAAGGACGAGGAACGTCAGCGCCAACACGAACACCTGGGGGGGGGGGCGGTGCATAGGAGGTGGCGCCCCGGGGTTGGGGAGGCAGGCAGAGAACAGAAGGGAGAGAAGGCAGAGGCCAGCACACGCTCAGGTCAGCTCTCCTTGTTGAAATGACAGCTGCCCCCTGCAACCCCACACACACACCAGTGCCCCCTGGGACCTCAGAAGCCCTAAGCACAAGCTCCCTGAGAACTGCGAGGTTTGCCAGCAGAATGCAGGGATCTGAGCCAGCTGGGTGAGAGGTGTAAGTCCTCTGGGTCAGGCAGTGTCCTAGGGGACTCCCTCCTTGCCGCCCGACCCCCAGCGCAAACCTCCTTGGTGTTTCTCAGACCTCTGAGGAGCTCCCAGGGACACCCAGATTTCCTGCCCTAGTCTCCTAGGCGCCCAGAGCAGTGAGCTGTCTACTGCAGGTCCCCACAGAGCAGGGGGGGCCCGGGGAAGGAATTCTCCCCAAGCGGCTCCAATCTTCCCCAGGACACACACACACAACACACACGTGTGAGCACCATACCTGCCATTCTCTGCATTCCTCGTGGCTGGAGAGCTCAAACAATGTGACGGCATTGTAGAGCTGCCAGAACTGGAGAGGGGAAGCAGGCTCTGCTCAGCTCACCCAAGTCCCCTTGAGACCCAGGTGGGAAAGCCCAGGGGGCAGGGGCAAGCCCCCTCAGCTTCTGCTGTTAACTGCTCTTGAGATACTGACAACCCCCTCCAAACGAAACTGGGGCACCCAGCCTGGTGTGGGGCATGCGGGTGCCCAGGGCCAATTCCAGCTCCTGCCTTTGGCCTTCCTGGACCCAGGGGCTGTCCCAGCCACAGGACCCCAAGGGCCCCAGCTCATGGATGGTTGGTAAGAGGGGGAGAGGACTTAGGACCTTCTATTCCTGGAAGGGGGTACCCACAAACTCCAGGGGGACTCACATGGCCACAGAACAGGAAGGGCAGAAGGAAGGTGAGGCCTCGCCACATCCAGGACTGAAATCCTTCTGTGGAGAGGAAGGAGGGAGCGGAGGGCCTAGGTGAGGTGGCCCGGCCCTGCCAGTCACTGCGATCAGGCAGGTTCACCTCTTCCAGGTGGGTGAGTGCTCACTTGGAAAATAATCCAGGGAACACGCGGAATAACTGCCACCAGGCCTGGTGGCCCTCACGCCTCATGTCCGTGTGACCCAAGTGGGCTGACCACTCTTACAGGACACTGATATGCCAGCACTAGGCTTTTCAAAATTTGCAGAGGATTTTGCATTTCATAACTGGCTTTGGCATGCTTCATTTCAATCGAGTCTTGACAAAATAGGGCCTACTGTGCAGAATAATTCGATGGAAATGACCACTTCAAAAGACAGAAGATTTTTATTAACAACACGTTCCCCTGAAAGTTTAAAGGAAGGGTCTCTGAGTTTTCCTGATGGAGCACCCACCCCAATGAGTTAAAGTTAAGAACCCATAAATTGCACAAGTGTAAAAACCCTAGACTAGACTAACATTATGTATGTCATAAAACAGACAAAAAAAAATAGACTTTAAAAAGGAAAAGCTACAGGCGCTCAGCCTCCAGGGCCTGGCACACAGCTGGCCTTGGGTTTGTCAACTGCAAAGGAATCCATAATGAATTACAAAAAGCAACTGGGATGAGGCCAGCAAGTCCTGGCTTTGCATGTGGCAGGTCCTGTCAGCTTCTTACCTGCACCTGGTCCCTGTGACAAATGCGGGGCAGAGTCTGGGGGAACAGAGACGGTCAGTGCTTATCACCCCGCCGACCAGGCCAGGCCACTCACCCACAGTGAGGTCCAGGTGATTCCTCTCCCCCAGGGCCCGCAGTCGGTAGAGGCAGCCTCTCTGGTAATAATATTGCAGGAACTGGACACAGCCTGCAGGGGGAGCACAGCGCCCAGCTCAGGGACTTGGGGACCCAGCAACACCTCCACTGCAGGCTGGCAGGTCTCCACTGCCCAGAGACCAGGGGCGCCTGGGTACAACCTCCTCACCCCCCAACACACACTGCACCGTAGCACACCACACCACACCATACCACACCCACACACCCACGTCTGAACCTAAAAATGAAAAGGCAGACCATGCCACGCCATGCCACACCACACACACACGTCTGAACCTAAAAAACGAGAAGGCAGAATTCTGTGTGTCGACATGGAAAAATACCCATCATAACTGTTAAAAGAATAGAAACTAGGTTATAAAAAAAGCTATGTAGAAGAATCCTATGTTTGTAGATTATATGTAATACAGCATTATAGGTGTGTATGTGTGTTTATGAATGAAAATATCTGGAAGGACATATATCTATTAACACTTTAAGGATGGAATTATACATAATTTTCCTTCTTGGCTTATGTTTGTAAGCAGGGTTTTATTTTAAAATTAAGTTGTATTTTTTTGAATAGGTAAGATGTATTCAGCATAAAATTCAAGGGGAACAAACAGGTACTTGATGAAAAGTAAAACTCTCTCCCTGTCTTTAACCATCCAATTTCTGTTCCTCAGAGGTAACCCCTCATTGTGTACAAATCCGGAGCGATTCTTAAATAAAACAAGAAAAAGAACATAAATGTCCATTTTAAGGGAAACAGAGTTGATGCTCCCAACACCACCCAGTTCCTGAAGGGCACAGCTGGTCAGATTCTGAACTGGGGGAGAAAAAGGTAGTGATTGGAGTTCCAGGGGTTGAACATTCCTCTCCAGGGGCTGGGGGCTGGAGAGCAGCATGGGGCTGATGGAGTGGTGGGGAGAGATGGCAGACAGCTTCTTTTGGTTTTCTGGGACCCTTCCCTGCCTGACCAGGGACCTCCCCAAGTCTCATCTCCGTTTCACACAAGACACACTCTTCACACAACCGTCTCCACTGGTGAAAGCCACACCATGCCCCTCCCCAGAATCTGAACAAGAGACACTCACTCTGAAAAATGGAGAACGCTAAAAACTGATTGCGAAACTTCTGATAAATTAGTCCGTTAGGCCTGCAGAGAAGTGGGGGGAAAGCAAAGGTGAGGCCCCAATGTGAAATCATTTGTTCATCCCGATCCCATCTCTGTTCCAACCAAAAGAGACAGAGAGAAAAAAAAAAGATTTTAAACCAAATTTCTACTTTCTTTATCATCATGTCCCTGGGGCTGGACCAGGTAATTTCCATCATTGCTTTAATCCATTCTAGAACCAAGGGAGCTGGGGTAGGCATCTTGAAGACCAAATGCCCACCGATTCCTCCTCCCTCCATCAGTCACAGTCTTGTCCCTGTGCTTGTTCTGTCCACACTTGCTCCCTGTCACCGCAGTTAGTAGCCCTTGGAAAAGTCCCCAGCTGGCTTGGGGTGGCCCTGCAGCCCCTTTGTAAGCTCACACTTTTACTTCTCGGACCAAACGTCAGCCCCCAAATCCCCTGCATCTTGGGCCCACTGCCAGTCCCCATCCACTGGCTCCCTGCGGAGAGTGAGCAGAAGTCCTGGGGCTCAAGCAGGAGACACTCACCAGGTCAGCATCACTCCAGACAGGAACGTGGACACGTAGTGGTGAGACACCCACCAGCCTTTAATTCTTGAGAGAAGAGAAGGAAAAGAGCTCAGGTGGGGAGAGAAAGCAAGCTTCCCAGCCTGTGTCAGGGGAGAGGGGTGGTCTGCAACCCAGAGACAGCTTCTTGGAGCAAGAAATTAACCCAAGCCAGGACTTTTGCCCTCTGTCCTATGAGATACACAGTCACACAGAGACCCAGAGAGGCACTCGGGCCCCCAGCAGCTCCCCAGTCAGTACCCTCAGAACACCTCCCTAGCATCCCCAGTGCTCCAAGGCCCGCCTCTCTGCCCCTCCTCACCCCCACTCTCAGAAGCTCCAGGTAGCCTTTTCCTTGAACCTGCGAAGCCCATGGCTGCCTCGGGGCCTGTGGCTGAATGGTGTTCCCCTCAGATTCCTATGCTGAAGACCTCTAACCCCAGTACCTTAAAATGTGACTATATTTGGAAAGAGGACTTTTAAAGGGATAATGAAGGTTAAATTATGTCATAAGGGTGGAGCCCTAATATGATAGGCTTGGTGTCCTTAGGAGCAGAGGAAGAGACTGGAGCGGAGTGCATGCACACAGAGAAAAGGCCCTGGGAGGAGGCAGGCGTGGTCTGCAAGCCAAGGCGCGGGCTCAGCGGAAAGCTGCCAGCACCCTGATCTTGAACTTATAGCCTCCAGACTGTAAGACAATGCATTTCTGTGGTTTAGGTCCCCTAGTCTGTGGTATTTTGTTATGGCAGCCTGAGCAGACTAATGGGGGCTTCAAACTTGCCGTTCTCTCTGCTCCAAGATCTTGGCCAGCCTGGCTTCTGGTCCAAATTCAAGTTTTCGGGCCAATGGTCACCTCCTCCAAGAGGCCTTCCCTGACCCCCTTATCTGAAACAGCTAGACAGCCCCGCTCTGGATCACGTTACCCTGCTTTATTTTCTTCACGGTGCTTATCACTATCTAAAATTATCATTCTTTCCTCATTTGTTTCTGAACCCCCGTTCCCACTCAAAAGAGCAGAGATACTGTCTGTTCATCTGTATCATGACACCTGGCTTACAGCAGGTGCTCAACAAGCATGCTGAATAAACACAGAACCCTCGCACATGTTTACACAGAGCTGTAGCTATCTACGTTAACCTACACAGAGGAACCACAGACTGTACACGAAGTGCCTCGCTCCATCCCAGACACAGCTGCTCTCTGGGGGCGCCAAGCTCATCTGCTCCTCTGTCTACAGCACTCATCCAGTCCACAAGCTGCCGGGACCCCGTGGTCAGTATCCAGCTCTGGGACTTCCCTGGTGGTCCCATGGCCCATTCCTCACTCCCAAAGCCAGGGGCTCCTGTTGGATCCCTGGTCTGGGAACTAGATCCCACGTGGCGCAGCTGAGAGTTTGCCTGCTGCAACTAAAGATGCCCCATGGCAAAATGAAGACTGAAGATCGCACGTGCTGCAACTAAGACCCAGGGCAGCCAAATAAATAAGAAGAACCCAGCGCTCCCCTGGCTCAGCGCTATCACTCCAGAGAGGGGCAGGGAGCCTGGCTGTCACCCTCTCTTCCGTGTCACAGGCAGGTCCCAGAGTGTGTCTGAGGACTCTGCCGGCCTCCCTAGCCCTTCTCCAGGAGTTCAGTGATTAGAACACGAGGAGGCAGCAATCTGCTTTCCCAGATGCACCCAGGGACACCAGGGACTGCGACATGGGAAGCAGCCATGCGGGAGAAGCAGTTAATCTTCATCTTTCCAGAACTCTCTCTCGGGAGACAACTGGAGTCGGGGCCAAGTGGGGAGATGGGCTCCAAATGGAGGCACCTGAGGATCTGCTGGTTCGGGGGATGAGCTGATGGATTAGATACTTTTCTTTCTTTCTTTAAATTGTTTTGGGCCGAGCCATGCAGCACGTGGGACCTTAGTTCCCCGACCAGGGATCAAATCCCTGTTCCCCTACACTGCATGCTCAGAGTCTTAACCACTGGACCACAAGGAAGTCCCCTCTTTTAAAATTTATTTATTCCACTGCATCAGACCTTAGCTGTGGCATGTGGGATTCTAGTTCCCTGACCAGGACCAAACCTGGGCCCCCTGCATTGGGAGTATGGCATCTTGGTCAGGGAAGTTCCAAGAAGTCCCTTTTATTAAATTAAAAAAATAAAATTTTTACTAAAAATTAACTAAAATCATCCTACGACTTGCTTCTTTGTCTTGACTCCAGGCCTGTATCTACAGACCTGCCACTGACTTCTTAAACGTGACATGACATTTCAGGATGTGTCTGCTCTGCCGTAGTCTACTCAGCCATTCCTGAACTGTCCCTGTCATCCTTCATGTTGCCAAAACATCCTGTGGAAGTCCCCTGTGTCATGACGCCGTTTCTCCATGGCGGCTACCAGGAAGTAAGTATGCAGGACGGCTGGCTCAGAGGGCACGTGTGTAGTTATTTCTCAAATTACCTTCCAAAACAGCGATTCCCAATTTACACTCCCATCGGCAGTAGAGACTATCGAGTTCCCCAAACCCTCACCAACACGGAATACCTAATTTTAAAATTTCTCCCAATCTCATGTGAAAACTGGTGTGTCATTGAGATTTTTGTTTGCACTGTCCTAATAAGTGGATTTGTCTCAAAACCTTCCCCTGGACATAAACACTGTAAGAGCAGGGACAGCATCTTACTCTTCTCTTTGTAGCCCTTCAATGTGTGTGTGTGTGCACTGAGTCACTTGGTCCTGTCTGACTCTGCGACCCCATGCACTGTAGCCCACCAGGCTCCTCTGTCCATGGGATTTCCCAGGCAAGAGTACTGGAGTGGGTTGCCATTTCCTTCTCCAGGGGGTCTTCCCAACCCAGGGATTGAATTCTCATCTCTTGTGTGTCCTGCACTGGCAGGCAGATTCTTTACCACTGAGCCATCTGGGAAGCCCTTCAATAGTTCTGGGAGGGAAGGAAGGAAGGGAAGGAGAAAAGGAAAAGAAAGAAGAAAATTAATGAAAGAGACTTCCCTGGCAGCCTAGGGGTTAAGACTCTACACTTCCAATGCAGGGACTGTGGGTTTAATCCCTGGTCAGGAACTAAGATCCCACGTGCCGCACGATACAGCCACAAAAAAATGCCTGATCATAAATTAGGTGTTTGGGCAACAGCCTGTGGATGCTTGAGTGGCTACGAGGAGAAACAAGGTTTTAGGAGGCTTTTTATTCCTAGCACTAACAGCACCTGGTAAACAGTAGGTACTCAATAAATGCTGAAATGGAAAAAGTGATGTCCAGGAAGTGCAGCTAGTATAGATGCCACCAAGACAGACTAGACAGGAGACTGATGCAGGTGCCACGTGAGTTCACAGGACAGGATGGGACATCTGTCCACTTGCTGGTTCCCAATCTCCCTTCCCCATGTCCCTGCCCTGCCTGTCAGGGTCTCTGAGGAACCTTGGTTTCTGACCCAGAAGATAACTGGCCCTATCCTTAGACCTTCATCTTGAAGAGCAACCAACAAGTCTCTGTAAGCCCTGGAGGCCTGGCAAGCCCCCTGTCCTCTGTCCTACCTACCAATGGTCCCTAGAGAAATACCCGCTCCCTGTCCAGGAGGGGCCGGAGCCAGACACAGGCTCCCGGCAGCAAGCCTGGCTGAGCAGAAGCTTCCAATTTCACAGTTCACTGTGCCCACAGCCCAGCACTGACAGACGCCACCAATAAACACAGCTCAGCGGCACTGGGAGAGGCTAAAAATGTCCTCTTTCCCAGCGTGCATTCGCCAGCCCCATTGTCTGTCTGCACACCCCAGGGCTCTGGACTGGTGCTCCACAGGTATGAGTGTGCATGTGTGTGTTTATATAATAGTTTTATTGTGATGTCAGTCAGACACCATACAATTCACCCATTTAAAGTATACAAGTCAGTGTACTCACAGAGTTTGCAAACATGACCACAGTCAGTTTTAGGACATTTGTACCGCTCCAGAAAGAGACCTTCACCCTTTAGCAGTCTATCTCTAAGGTCCGTTTTCCCCCAGAAACGGAGCCTGCAGGAGCTTGTGGCCTTTTAAATGAGCAGACAGTAGGTACGCCAGGAAGGCCGGCACATTGCATAGCCCGAATGTAGTACGAACAGCATGTTCTGCTATCTGGGGATTGTGCCTGGAGCGCTCCCTATAGGACACCTTAGCGTAAGATCCAGGCACCAGTCACTAGTCAACACCTGGCTCTCTCTGGCTTTGTGCTTCGGGTCATCTGGGCAGCTCCGGGAATGGCTTCTATACCAAGGCTCCCTCTCTCCTCTGCCACCCCTACCCCTCTGTATCCTAGGAAAGGCCCTTACAAAAACCAATTCGTTCTGGGCACTGGTGGGCTGGCGTTCCAGAAAAGCCAACGTGATTTCTGATTCATTATTCATTCTATCCCGGAACCACTGCAGAGGACATCTGCTGTTTTGTCTGTTAACCACTCCCGTTCTGGTTCTCCCCTTTGTCTTTCCTTGGAGGAACTACCTCACCCCCACAGTCAGTCTGGGTGGTGGAGCTGAGATAACTGGGCACATGACCCAGAGTCAGCCAATGGAGATGCTAAATCACTGCAGCCACGGTGATTGGTTCAGGGATGAGCATGTGACCTGAGCCTGGCCAATTAGGAGTCTGACTCAAGACTGCTCCTGGACTAGTAGAGGAAAGATGCTCTTTACTCTGGGATTGCTGATCCCTATAGGGTGCTGGCCTGGGCTGCTGGGAGCTAGTGCAGAAGGTAGCAGGAAAGGAAAAGGGAGAAGGAGGAGGGCTGTTAAATTAACATTGTTTGAGCACTCTGGACCTCCCTGAACTATTTATATGTTCCAGTAAATACCTCTTCATGTTTATTCCTATCAGGTGGTTTTCCATCATTTCCAAAATCTGGAAGGGAAGTTGACTTACTTATGGCTCTAACTGAGCTAAGGAGCTACATCTCACATGGGAAACATCAGACATAAACCACAGGTAGCTCCATCCCACGATGCGGGCGTTCCCCCTACACACCCACCTAAGCCTGCTTCCCCCCAACACAACCCTAATTCAGGTCTTGGATGCAACTGGAAACAGGATAAAACAGGTTCAATCAGACCAAAACTGGGCAGCAAACCTCCAGGAAGTCTATTTGGCTCAGGTTCAGCTGTCTCTTCAACACCAAGATGACCCCAGTGAACTTCCTTCACTACAGAGCTTGGGTTCAGTTCATTTCTACACAGACCCTGGGGCATTCACTGGGTACCCACTGTGAGCTCCAGAGCTGGCCGTGGGACACTTGAGAGAAAGGCAGCCTTCATCCCAAACTGGACCCCTGCCTCCTTCTTCACTCTGCTTTCTTGAACTGGTTTCTTAGCTATTCCCTAATAAGGGCCAAGTGTGAAGGGAAACCTCACAGGCATCTCCCGGGCCCACCCCCAGGAGAAAAATCAGCTCTGAGAAGGAGCGGGAGGAGGTTGGAGGCTAACTATTCAACAGATGTCGAGGACAAGTCACAAGTTTTAATCACCCAGCTTTGGTCCACCTGCCATGCTTCCCTCTCCCACAAGTTGACCACAACTCCTGTAGTCATTCCAGAAAATAAGACATCCGTATGGGCCCACCCCACTCTTCCCACGGTCCCCACTACCAACACATCCAAATCTGTGCTGAAGGCCAGACTGGGGATGCAGGCCTGGGGGAGTGTGATTCCTGAAGCAACTTGACCTTCCTGAAGCATCCTTGCCAAGAATGGTCTTTTAAAGAACCACTATGAGTGCTCCCAAAAGGCTCCACGTGGGAGCTATATTGGAGTCCCTAGCTCAGTGTCTGGTACTTAAAAGTTGCTCAATAAAAGTGTAATGTGGACTTCCTGGTGGTCCAGTGGTTAGGACTCCGCACTTCCACTGCAGGGGGCACAGGTTTGATCCCCGGTCAAGGAACTAAGATCCTGCATGCTGTGTGGCATAGCAAAATAAAATAAAATGTAAAATACATAAAATAAACATGTAATAAGTGGCAGGTCGGGGACAGATTGGACCACACACAAAGCTTTGCATTACCAGCTCAGTGACAGCCCTTCCTGTTGTCCCATCAGAGCACAAGCCCTAGCGAGGCCCCAGAGAAGGTCCCACTAAGGTGTCAGGCAAGTGAGGTGGCTCTGGAACCCTACTTTCCCCCTTTAGTCCTCCTCCCTGTTTTCTGGGTGTGCTCCACACTTACAGGGACCTCGACTCAGACCTGTTCCCTTCTCTCGGGGAACCCCTCACCCACAGTTTGTCATATAAGAAAAAAGGGACAAGAGTAACTCTTATTAAAGTGTTAGTGACTGTTAGAGATGTAGCATGCCCCCGAACACTCTTAATATGAGTCTATGAGGAGGAAGAAACTCCCAATACCAAGCCCAGGGGAGCACAAAGAGAATTAGTAACAAGAAAGCTTGGCCCATTGCCCTGGGCCCATTTCCCCACTATGTACTACCCTGGGTCCCCTCCAACCATGCCCAAAAGCAGGAAGATACAATCACTAAAATTAAGGAAAACTACAAATGTTATTGATTTGGTAGGATTTTCTACTTCAGTGTTTCCCAAAGCATGGGGCATGTACCACCAAGTTTTAGATGCTATCTGAGTGTAATGCTAGATGATACTGAATCACGTGGTGAGAAGTCATCAGTCCTGTTCTTTCCATTCTCCTGATTAAGTCAGGAGATAATCTTGGTTAAATACCAGGACATCTTTAATATACAAAATCCCCTGCTCTTGGGTTTCCCAGGTGGTTCAGATGGTAAAGAATCTGCCTGCAAGGCAGGAGACCCAGGTTCAATCGCTGGATTGGGAAGATTTCCTGGAGAAGGGAATGGCAACCCACTCCAGTATTCTTGCCTGGAGAATGCCATGACAGAGGAGCCTGGTGGGCTGTAGTCCATGGGGTCACAAAGAGTCGGACACAACTGAGCAATTAACACATATATACATACATAGAGATCTGCTCATCTCCCTTTTTACACATGTACACACACTTTAAAGAGATAGCAGGCCTCAGGCTCAGAGCCTTCAGGAAGCAGGAATCATTGACTTCAATAAATTAGACAATGAAAATGAAATTCTATTTTTACACTATTTCCTCTTTCCTGCAATTGATGCTGGTTTTCCACGTAAGGTGGTGAAATAAAAGTTTCCTTTTAAAATAAATTCACATTTAGTTCTCACTTCGGCAGCACATGTACGAAAATAAATTCACATTTATTTAATTAAAAAGAAAAAAGAAAAACAAAAAAGAGGTGGATTTAAATTGTGAAAAAACTATCATCCAGGTGATGCTGGACACGGTAAAGGCTGAGTGCAGTTTGAGAAACACTGATCTTTTCTAAAGGGCTGCATGCTAAAACAGGACTGCATACCTAAGAATAGCTGATTCCCCTGGTCCTTACCTCTCAGCTCTATGTTCAGGGTAAGGCCCAGCGGGGCAGGGATATGCCATGAGAGACCACTGGCAGAGAAGTGAGAAGGTAGCAAATTATTTGGGGGTTTGGCAAACACCCCAATCTTAAATACACAGCTCCTGGCCATCCCTTACCAGCCCCCAGGAAGAAGGAAGTGGGGAGGGTTCAAGAGGTTGTTACTTTTTGTTTCAGGAAAAACAGGGACAAGAATGGTATGCAGGGGTTCAAATGGACACCCTCAAAAGGCATCAGACCTATGGGAAATGGGTCCTACAAGTGGCAAGTCGTGGGTCTTAACTCAGTCCTGATACTCTAATCTCTCTTTCAGGGACTTTCCACTTTTCTCACCAGAATCCATTCAACCTTCTGGTGACAGTAACCTAACTTTCCTCTCCTGACACTCAGCTTTGAGGTGTTGGTTGACAGCCCTGGGGGTGGACACAAGGCTCAGAGCAGTACAGTCTCTGGCCACAGCGATCAGTTCAGAGATAATCAGTGAGTGCCAACAGGACCCAGTGAGACTCCTGGGAGAGAGGAACATGCCTTATTTTGCTGGGAATGCTAGAAACGAAGATGTGAGCCTGGAGCTGCTGATGCTCCTCCCTGAAACCTGAGACTAAAAGAACACAGTAGAAGGTATGGTTGAGAGATAGAAAGAAACTGGGTCCTGATGACACTGTCTGAATGCCTGGATTAAGCCTTACCTGAACTCAGCGCTAATGGACCCATTCCTTAATATGCGAAAATAAATTTCTTGTTGTGTTAAACTCATTTATTTGAGTTAGGGTTTCTTGTAAGCAAGAGACTGACCATTGCAAGTGAAGTTGCAGCAGCAGACACCGTTTTCCTCCTCCCTGGTTCTCAACAGTCATGAATACTCCACCCCACAAGGAGGAAGGGGGTGCAAGGTGAGGCTGAGAGCTCTCACCTCCATGACAGATTTCCCTCTGGCTCCCCTGCACCACCCCACAAAGCTGGGCCCCCCCCCGTTACCTCGAGCCGTTGCTGATAAGAATGCTCTCCCGAATTGTCAGGGTGCAGTAATACCATACGAGCAGGAAGTTAAAGACTTCATCTGTCACCCTGGCATAGAGAAACAGCCCAAGGGAGGGGTATAGACATGAGAAACCAGGGACAGCTGTCCCCCCACCCCACCCCACCCCCGGCACATGCACAACTGAACAGCAAACCAGGACAAGTCCCCATAGAAGGAAAGACATTTGAGTAGGGCCTTGAAAGTTCAATATATGGAAATGTGCTTTCCTGAGTGTTGGTAATAACTAAATTTGGCTGTAGAAATGGATAATTGTATCTATTATGCTCACTTACATTGTTCCATTTTTTATTTTGTAGACAATTATAGCGTAAATGCTACAGGTTGCAATACTCTGTGAGAGTCAAGCCTCCCTTAACTGACAGCAGTTGGAGGATAAATACTGCCCATTCCCTCACCCCCTGAGGGGGAATAACTGAAGCCCGTCCATTGCTGTTCCCTACTCCCCAGCAGCACTGAACTCCAGGTGCCCGCAGGATAACCTACTTGTCTCACTTCCATTCCCCAACCAGTGTTTCCTGGGATCACCTCCTGAATAAATTACTGGTCAAATGCTTGTCTTGGGGGATTTCTTCTGGGGGAACCCAAACAAAGACAGTATTACTTTCCATTTCCGAAATTCAAAGACACATGCTCCTTGGAAGAAAAGCTATGACAAACCTAGAGAGTTATTAAAAAGCAGAGACGTAACTTTGCCAACAAAGGTCAATCTAGTCAAAGCCATGGTTTTTCTAGTAGTCATGTTCGGATGTGAGAGTCGGACCATAAAGAAGGCTGAGAGCTGAAGAAGTGATGCTTTTGAATTTTGGTGCTGGTGAAGACTCTTGAGAGTCCCTTGGACAGTAAGGAGATCAAACCAGTCAACCCTAAAGGAAACCAACCCTGAATTGGAAGGACAGATGCTGAAGCTCCAATATTCTGGCCATCTGATGTGAAGAGCTGACTCACTGGAAAACACCCTGATGCTGGGAAAGATTGAGGGCAAGAGGAGAAGGGGGCATCAGAGGATGAGATGGTTGGATGGCATCACTGACGCAATGGACATGACTTTGAGCAAGCTCCAGGAGATAGGGAAGAACAAGGAAGCCTGGCATGCTGCAGTGCATGGGGTCTCAAAGGGTCAGACGACTTAGCGACTGAACAACAACTTCCCATTTTACAGATGAGGAAATTAGGTTCAGAGATGTGCTGACTATCCAGCTCCCCACCCTTGCCCTTTTTTAAGCCATTGAAGGTGTAGTCAGCTAAACAGTGTTCCCCCCAGCTCAAATTCAAATCCACCCAGAACCTCAGAATATGACTTGATTTGGAAACAGGGTCTTTGTAAATATAATTAGTGAAGATGAGGAGATAATGGGTTACGGTGGACCCTAAACCCACGGCTGTGTCCCTATAAGAAGGCCAGGAGAGAGATACAGGGCCACAGGGCAGATGGCCATATAATGACAGACTAGAGCGAAACAGCCTTAAGCCAAGGGAATGCCAAGAATGGCCAGCCACTACCAGCAGCTGGGAGAGGCAAGGAAGGCTCCTCCTCTAGTCTTTAGAGTGAGCGTGGTCCTGCCAACCATGATTCCAACCTTGATTTCAGATTTCTGGCCTCCACAACTATGAGAAAATACACTTCTATTGTTCTTAGCCACCCAGCTTGTGGTGCCTTGTTACGACAGCCCCAGGAAATGAATACAGAAAGGGATGGGAGACACGGTGATGCCAGGCCCTCAGTGAGCCTGAGCACTCAACTGCACACCACGGATTTGTCTTCTGAGGGCCCCAGAGGTTCCAACACCAGGAAATCTGGTTGCACGTCAAGAACTTCTGCCCCCTTTCCGGGGGCACGTGAGTGGGCATGACTGACATGAGCAGCCTCTGCCCTCCAGGGAAGCGGCCCAGGCCCAAGGCAGCAGGCAGGCACGGGCTCAGGGCCTGAAAGAACCTTTGTTTGGACACTCAAGTGGGCAGCCCAGCAACTGGACTCCCAGCCAAGCGCCTGCCAGGAAATAAACCCTTGACACGTGGGCCAAATGCCCAAGCCACACTTGGCCACCTCCCCTCAGGGCAGGAAACCCAGGGCCAGAGCAGGGGGAAAGAAAACCCCCTGGGGGATCGTGGCTTCGGCTCACCTCCCTTGTCCCACTCAAATGGAGCAGCTGACACTCTCAACTGTGCCACTGGGTGCCAAGCGCTGGGCACAGCCACGTGCGGTGTTATTGCGCTCAGCTGTCACAACACCCCAGTGAGGCAGGGCCTGGTGCCACCCGCATTTTACAGCGGGGGAGACTGAAGCACCCAGAGGCAACCTGCCCATCCGACAGCCAGGAGGTCTCGAAGACAGGATTCGGACCCAGGAAGTCTGTGGTCTATCTCTTTTTCTTTCCTTCCTTCTTTCCTCTTTTTTGCTCCCCATCCTACCCCCTACCACCTTTACTTCTGTAACTGAGATACAATCCACATACCATAGAATTCACCTTTTTCAAGGATACAAGTCAGTGTGTTTTCAGGATATTCACCAAGTTGTGCATCCATCATCACTAATTCCAGAACATTCTCACCACTCAAAAAAAAAAAACACACCCACACCTGTGGCCCTTAGCAGTCACTCCCTATTTGCCTCCCCACCGCCCCCTGGCAACCACTAATCTGTTTTCTGTCTCTATAGTCTTTGCCTTTTCTGGACATTTCATATGAGTGGGATCATACAGTAAGTAACCTTTTGCCTCTGGGCTCTTTCACTCAGCACCATGTTTTCAGGGTTCATCCATGTTATAGAATGTGTCAGTACTTCAGTCCTTTTTGTGGCCAAATAATATTCCACTGCATGGATGGACCACACTGGGCTCCTTCTTAGCTACTACGTTATAAGGCCTTTCTAGCAACCATTTAGTAGATATTTGTTGGATGGCTATAAGGCAGACAGAACTCTATTTCCCATAAGAAATGGTCCTTCTCTACCCTATACCTCATCACACCAAATGCTGGAGATGCAAGAGAAACCCTGGATCGTTCTCTCATGGCCCTCCTCCCTCACCCCTGCACACACACCACCACACCCCATCACCTGTAGTGAAGGAAAAATCGACACGCCACAGCACCCAGGAGCAGGATGATGGTCAGGTAGAGCTTGAACTTCTCATACTCATCCTTGTAGGCAAATCTGCAGTGACAGACACCCCCAGGAAAGGTCACATCACTATAACCCATCACCCCACCAGATCCCTGACCTGCTAGATCAAACAAAGGGAGAGATTTCGAATTAATGGTGATGATCAATAAGGAAAGAGGGCCAGTGTGCAAAGCTTCTTTTGTCCCTGGACTCCTGGGTTTAAGGTTTCGAGCCTGTGATGGGCAGGGAGCTGCGACAGGGTCTCCTCCTCAACCACCTACAGAAGTGGAAAAGCCACAGCTCCATTTTCCCTGGAAATGGGATAGATCTGGGTTAGCCAGGACTGCCTATGCCCCAGGAGGAATGTGTGTGATAAGGCGTGGAATACGACAAGCGGCCATTTCTCATGGGAAATTGGCGGTCCAGTCCATACCACATACTGACTCTGTGAAAGGAAGGAAGGAAACCTCCCCCATGTGGTCTAAGGAAGAGACCGTCGGAAAGACCAAAGCCAGAGTCCCAGCTATGACTTTTTTTTTTTTATGCAAAAACACTAGCTTGGTCCCATCTCTCTTAAGCTGAAAGAGCAAAATGCCCGGATTCCTTAAAGTCAGGTGGAGGGGTGTCTGGGATACTCACTTGGCCTGGTTGCTGAGAAGGGTCACGTTCACATTGCCAAGAACCAGATTCAAGTAGAGCCTGAAAGGAAAAACCTATGAGGGTCACCATTTTAACAACCCCAGGAGTGGTCCCCAACCAAAAATATTCAAAATTAATAAGCAGGGCAAGCACTTGCCAGGTGGCCCAGTGGTAAAGGACCCACTGCCAATACAGGAAACGGGGGCTCAATCCCTGGGACAGGAAGATCCCCTGGAAGAGGAAATGGCAACCCACTCCAGTATTCTGGCCTGGGAAATCCCATGCACAGAGGAGCCTGGTGGGCTACAGTCCATGGGGTCACAGAGTCAGACATGACTGACCATGCATGCACAACAAGCATGGCACTGAGCACCGGATGTTATAAAATGAGGTGCTAAGCTCAACGGTAAAGTTCTCACATCATATGAGAATGAAAACGATTAACTAGAGAACATGGCAACTGTCAGGACCGTCACGATTAACCCATTTCTCCCCATTTTAGCTGGCTTACAGACCATGTTTCCCAGCCTCCCCTGCCACTAAATATTTTTTAAAAATAAAATAAAAAATAAAGTATACAGCTTAGTGGTGATTATTTTGTAATATACAGAAATATAAAATTGCTATGTATACCTCAATCTAAAAAATAAATAAAATAATAAGGTGAGCTTATAAAAAATGTTTACATTAGAAACAAATTATACAATTTAATGGTTTCAAGTATACTTAACAACAGTGTACAAACATCAGTGTCACCTAATCCCAGAACATGAAATTTCAACAACCCAAGAAGAAGTCCTTACCCACTAGCAGTCACTCCCTCAGCCCCTGGCAATCACTAATCTACTTTCTGTTTCTATGGATTTGTCTATTCTTGACATTTTGTGTAAACAGGCTCATGTGATACGTGGCCTTTTATGTCTGGCTTCCGTGCTGTGTACATTCAGCACTCATTTCCACTGAGTGTATATACACCCAGGAGTGGAATTTCTGGGTTGTATGGTATGTATGTGTGGCTTCACTAGGAAATGGCAAACATTTTTGTAAAAAGGGATCTGCTTGCCCTCCACAGCCTGACTCTTTCCTGCTTGCTGAGACTGCAATGGTGTGACCCAGCTTTGGCTATGCAGATGAGAACAACTCCTAAAGCAGTGGTGAGTAGTAAGTAAGCTGCAAGGACCAAGTTCCTAGGTGACCTCAGGAGCCCAACATTCTTGGCCCACTCACCTCTGGACTGTTATGTGTGAGAGACAAAAGCTTCGCATGTTTAAGATACTGTGCCATGATGCTTCTGTTACAACAGCTTGTACTCCAACATGCTATGTGCATGCATGCTCAGTCACGTCCAACTCTTTGCAACCCCACGGACTGTGGCCCCCCAAGGCTTCTCTGCCCATGGGATTTCCCAGGCAAGAATACTGGAGTGGGCAGCCATTCCCTTCTCCAGGGGATCCTTCCAAACCAGTGTCTCCTGCTGCTCCCGCACTGGCAGGATTCTTTACCACTGAACCACCTGGGAAGCCCCTAACATGCTAATTAATAAAGGTGATAATAAAGGGTTAGGAGGTCTCAGGGAAAGACAAGTTAATTCCACAGAGGGAGAGAGGGGTTTAGAAAGACTTCACTGAGGTAGTAACATGTGAACTGGGCTTTGAAGGATGCATAGAAGTTTGAGAGGAGAAAAAGTAGCAGAAAAGCCTTCTTCCAGCTATGGGTAAAATCTAGGGGGACTTCCAATCTTGTGTATCTAGGGCAGAGGTGTCAAAAAACCATCTATTTTTCTCACTTAGCACATATTCCTTACCTCCTGGAAGGGCAATATAATTTCCCTTCAGGGAATCACTTTTCCCCCTAGGCCATGACCCAGGTTCCCCCAATCAAAGCAGTGCAACCTCCTGATTGGGTCAATCATGATCATGGAATACAATCTAGGCCAATGAGAATCAATAAGAGGACTTTTCCCAGAACTCCTACAGAACAAAGAGGCTTTCTGTACTGGATTTGCTAAGCAGGTAGGATGCAAACCCAGACCTGCTGGGGCCAGCTTGTGGAGGAAGCCTGCCTGAGAATAAAATTCACACACTGCAAAACAGAGTAAAAATAAATAAATAAATAAATAGGGACACAGTTTAACAGCATCCAGTCCTACCTAGAGCTACACCTGGACTTTTTAGTTACATGTGTCAATAACTGCCCTATTATTAATTAAGCAACTTTGAGTTGGGTTTTCTGTCATTTGTATTCCAAGGATTCCTAACTAATGTAAACTGGACAGAGGACTAGGAAGACTGGAGCTGGGAGAGTGAATCTGACTTTAAAAGAAGGTCACATTACAGTATACTAACACATATATATGGAATTTAGAAAGATGGTAACAATAACCCTATATGCAAAAAAAGAAAAAGAGACTCAGATGTATAGAACAGACTTGTGGACTCTGTGGGAGAAGGCGAGGGTGGGGTGTTTCAAGAGAACAGCATCGAAACATGTATATCTAGGGTGAAACAGATCACCAGCCCAGGTTGGATGCATGAGACAAGTGCTTGGGCCTGGTGCACTGGGAAGACCCAGAGGGATGGGGTGGAGAGGGAGGTGGGAGGGGAGACCGGGATGGGGAATACATGTAAATCCATGGCTAATTCATTTCAATGTATGACAAAAACCACTGCAATGTTGTAATTAGCCTCCAACTAATAAAAATAAATGGAAAAAAATAAAATAAAATAAAAGAAGGTCACGCTGTTTCATTCTGTAGAAAGTTATCACCACCCAAAGCATGGAGTTTTTAACCAAACACAGCCAAAAAGGAGAAGACAAGAGGAAGGCCTCTGGTGTATGGCTCTGACTCAAAGCTGGGTCAAACTGGGAAGAAAGTCAGGGTGCTTCCTGGGACGTGCATTTAGCCACCCATGTCAAGTCACAATACAACGCTGCAAGGATCTCTCTACAACGAGGTGGCAGAGATGTCACTTGAGGAAGAAGTTGGGACTTCTCTGAAGGAGGAAGATGGAAAGAACACAAGCTCTAGAGTCAGAATGTCCAGTGTTCACATCCTGGTTCACCCTAAGCCAGTCTGAGCCCTCAGGGCAAGATACTTCCTAATGCCACTTCTATGAACCTTTAGAACAGGGATTCCTGGATCTCACTCACCAGGTTGTAGACGGTGAAATGACTGAAGTCAAGACAGCCCCCCTGCACAATGCCAGGCATACAGTGGGCCCTCAACAGATGTTTGTTCTCTTGAGAGAGAACACATTTCCTCCTGATCCCAGGTGACATCGGGCAGATGGCAGAGGCTGGGAACCAGATCTTTGGTCTGGTTCCTTGAAAAAGCCCTTCCAGGAATGTCGCTGCCACACGGAGGGGCTGAGGTGCCCTCCTGGGTTCATGGAGGGTCATGTAAGGAAGCTTCCTTCCCTTTCCTGCCCTTGTTTCCTCCTCAAGCCCCAGCAGGGAGGTCAGAGGCACGCAGACCAGGTGCTCCAGGCCTGGGCATCTGCACACAGTGTTGGGGGTGTGAGGGCAGGTCCCCAGCTCCTACCCATTCTTCTTGGGCAAGTAGGCCTCCATGTCAAAGAAGACGTTCTGCCGCTCCTTGATGTTGGCACCCATCTGCTGAACGAGCTCCGCTTCCTCCCGACTGGCATGGCGTTTGTACCTGAGGTCAGAGGTGTGGGCATGAGATAAGCGTTACACAGACTGGATGAAGAATCCAGAAGCTCTAGGCACTGCCCCCCATCTTTCCATCTCAATGCTTCTGGCAACCTCAGCTCTCCAGATGTACTCTCTGGGTTTGATGCTGGCTCCCTGCAAGCCTTGGGAAACATCCTTTAACCTCTCTGCTTTATTTTCCACACCTCAAAAACAGGGATAACATCAGACCTACCTTGTAAATGATATCATTGTGACGATACAGTGAGTATATGCAGTGTAAAGCATTTAGAATACCTGACACATAGTATGAGCTCCAGGGATGTCGGCCTGCAATATCACTCTCCACGCTATTCTATACGAATAACCTGAGGGTTATGAAGAGTGCAGGCAGGAAGAAGGCTTTGAAGTATTAGCAGTCGACCAACCAAGGTCTGACTGTTTTTCTTTGGTCAGATTTAATCTCAAAACTAGAAAAACAAGTCATAGTCACAACTCATGGGTCAACTAACCTAACTCATGGGTCAACCTTCCAACCCAATGGTTCTCAACTGGGGAAACTTGGGATGGGAGTTCTTCCCAAACCATGAAGACACTGCCTGGGAACATTCTGGGTTGTCAAGACAGGAGTGGAGAGTTCTACTGGCATCTAGTGATTAGAGGCCAGGGATACTGCCCAACATCCTACAATGCATAGGACAGCCCCCAGGAACAAAGAAGCATCAACAGTGCCAGGAACGAAAAACCCTAGACAGATAAAAGACTGGAGTCCTATCAGTGAGATATGTTTTTCCAAGAGTGGTGATGTCATTATGTGGAACCATCCACACTCTTCACCATGACTAATGGACCTCCATGTCCAGAATCGTCAGTCAAGGTTAGGAGTATAATCAGTAACCATTCCCCAAATTTTCCATGGGGGAAGGGAAGAATCGCTCAGGAATCATAAACTGGAATGGAGGCCCAGCTAAGCGACCAGGGACAAGGCACTCAGAGCCTGTTTTCCTGTATCCCTAGGGGGTCACAGCATCCACTGGACTCCTTCACTTGCAGGGAATGACAGCACTTTCCAAACCATAAAGACATGGGACTAGGAAGTGAACAGGTGATCCTGGCCTTAGGAAATGAACTAGGTTGTAAGCTCAAGTATATCCCCACCAGGCATGCCGCACCTCTCACCCCCTACACCAGAGACCTGGTGGGGTGAACTCCCTTTGCCTGGAGAGAAGGATACTTGCTATTTACCTGCCCAACAGGACTTCTCATAACAACTTTCCTGTGGGAACTATGCCTCATCCTCTTCCCCCTCCCAAGTAGTTCAAGTAGAGCTGTCCCATCCCCCAGGTCCATAAACTGAGCATAGGACCAAGTCTTATATAAGTGTTAGTCACTCAGTCGTGTCCAACTCTTTGCAACCCCATGGATTGTAGTCTGCCAGGCTCTTCTGTCCATGGAATTCTCCGGACAAGAATACTGGAGTGGGTTGCCATTTCCTTTTCCAAGAGATTTTCCTAACCCAGGTCTCCTGAACTGCAGGAAGATTCTTTACCATTTGAGTCACCAGGGAAGCCCCCAAGTCTTATATAAACTGAGTCTCGATGATTGGTTCACAGATGGTCACATGATCAGTTCCAGCCGATGAGACTCACACCCAGCACTTGTGCTGAAAGACAAGTTCTCATTCTGCTGGGGTGGCCAAGCCAATAGGAAGAAAGGCTAAGAGGATAACAGCCTGGCACTGCTGGTGGCTATCTCAATGACCCTCTCAGCCACAGAGTGAAGCCAATCTAGAGGAAGGCAGAATTGAGAGGAAAAAAACCAAATTCCTAAAAACACCCTTTGACCCCCCCTGGATCCAATGATGCTTGAAGTCACTTCTGGTTTTTTTCCATTAAAATTTCCATTCTCGGCTCAAGCTGGTTTTGAGTTCAGATTCTGTCCCTAAAAGCCAGGGGGGCCTCTGAGTTGCAGCCCGCCTACCTCTGGAGTGTGAGTTTCAGGTCCTTCAGTCGGGTCTTCTGCTTGTTGATGGAGCTGCTACACGAAGTCTGGAGTGCATTCAGTTCCTCCAACTTCTGCTTGTAGATCCTGTGAGTTTCCTGAGGGAAAGAAAAGCAGAGTGTGCAGGAGAACATAAAGGGGTTATTTTTCAGTCTGCTTATGTTGGAGTATGGTATTGTTCAGTCGCTAAGTCCCATGTCTGACTTGACTTTTTTTGACCCCATGAACTGCAGCACGCCAGGCTTCCCTGTCCTTCATTATATCCCAGAGTTTGCTCAAATTCATTCAGTGATGCTACCGTGTCATCTTCTGCTGCCCCCTTCTCCTTTTGCCTTCAGTCTTTCCCAGCATCAAGGTCTTTTCCAATGAGTCAGCTCTTTGTGACTATAGAATCCAGTTTGACAGTTAAGATGATACAAGTACACCTATCAAAGATCTAACATAAAACTGGGACTGGATTTGGGGAAGGCAGCACTAGTGTAATAAGGAACTGCTGTTTTTTTTCTGTGCAGGTTCTGTCTTTCCTGATGGGAACAGAAACCAAACATGCCTTTGAGGGGCCAGCCACCTCTTGTCAATTCTTGGTCCAGGTGGTTTGAGCAGAGCTAACAGTGCCCATGTCAAGGGAGGTCATGTGACCCAGGCCTGGCCAATCAGTATTTCTCCAATCCCCCCAGCAACTGATTGGTTCATACAGGGATGCATGGCTCAAACTGAGTCAATGGGAGTCAGCTCTGGGACTTCACCTACAAGTATTAATTTAGAGATGCCCTCTTTCTCCTGGGTTTGTTAATCTGGTAGAAGGTAGAAGGTACTCAACCTGGGGCTGTTGAGTGTGGAGACTCTGCCTAAGAATGAAGCCGGGAACTTCCCCGGGGGTCCAGTGGCTAAGACTCCATGCTCCCAATGCAGGGGGCTGGGGTTCGATCCCTGGTCAGGAAACTAGATCCCACATGCTGCAACTGCCGCAACTAAAGATCCCCATGTCACAACGAAGATCGAAGATCCCATGTGCCATAACTAAGACCTGAGGAAGCCAAATAAATAAACAATTTTTTTAAAAGAAGAATGAAGCCAAACAGGAAAACAGAATTGGGACACGGTAAGAGACAGCATTCTTATAACATCATTTCGGCACTTGAATCTAACCAAGTCTGAATGCAATGCTAACACTCTTAGTTATTGGAATTAATAAATTCCTTTCTGGTTAGTCCAGTTTGGGTCGGGTTTCTGATCTTGGCAATGAAGACAGCTCTTGCTAAGACAATTAAGAAAAAGACATACCTCCTCCCTTTAAGTCAACCCTCCTTATCCCAGGCACAGCCACTCCAATACACTCAGTATCTTACTCTTGGAAATAACCATTCAGGACCACAAGACCAAAGGAAATACAAGACAGAGCTCCCCAAGGCAGGGAAAATGGAACACAGTATCTTCTCAACATTACTGCCACAGCACACCTCCCTCTGGGTACTGCCCTTTGCAGGGAAACAACTAGTTTCCTCCAGAGTCCTGATAATCTAAGACAAACACCAACAATCTGGAGAAAACAATATGAGGGTGCAGGGACCATAAAATTAAAAACAATAATCCAATGGCCATATTTAAAGTGGCTGTTTGCTTGGGTGGTAGAGAACTGTTTTAGCAGAGAGAGAGGAAAAAGGGATGGGCAGTGATGCCCATAGCCTAAACTCTCATGTCTGCCAAGCAGGTTCCTAGATATAAAAGTTAAGCCCAAAAGTAAGAAAAAAATGAAGGCAGTGAAGTGAATAGATAACACTTAGGAGTAACATGGAAGAATGCTCTGAGCATATCTCCTTTGGCCCCCAGTTTAGAGGGCTCAGTCCCCAGATTTAGAGTTTCCTCATTCTCTCCTTCCTGAGCCCCCAGAGAGGAAAACTGTGCCTCATTTTTTAAAATTTAGCTTTTAATTTTTAAATAATCTCACACTTCTGAAAGAATTGTAAGAGTGCAAAGAACTCCCCTACACCTTTTGCCCAGATTCACTAACTATTAGCATTATGACATATTTGCTTTCTTCTCGTGTGTGTGTGTGTGTGTGTGTGTGCATGTGTTTATGTGTACTGTGTGTGTTCTTTATCTGTATCAGGCATCAGTAAACCCACCAGCCAAATCTGGCCACCTGATTTTGTACAGGCAGTAAGCTAGAAATGATTTTTGTCTCGTTGCAAAAGATCAAAAGAAGAATATTTTGTGACATGTAAAACATATATGAAATTGAAACTCTAGAATCCATGAATAAATATCCATTTCACTGGAACACAGCCATGCCCATTCATTTATGTACCGTCTGTGGCACCACAACAACGGAGCAAGAGCAGTTGTGACAGAGACCACATGGCCCGCAAAGCCCAGAATCCTCACTACTTGGCCTTTTTGTCAAGAGTCTATTTCTGTTCTAAATCATTTGGGAGTTACTTGTAGACAATAGGCTTCTTTACTCCTAAATACATCAATGCATATTTCCTAAGGACATGACATTCTCTTATACTATCAAATATAGAAAATGTTACTTTGATACAATACAGTACTGTGACCTCAAATACCATCCAAATTCAAGTTTGGATGTGAACTCTCTTTTTTAAATTTTTATTATTATTTATTTATGGCTGTGCGGGGTCTTGGTTGCTGCATGAAGGCTTTCCCTAGTTGCTACAAGCAGGAGCTACTCTCTAGTTGCAATGCTCGTGTTTCTCATTGCGGTGGCTTCTCTTGTTGTGGAGCCTGGGTTCTAGAGCACGGGCTCAGTAGTTATGGCATGCGGGCTTAGATGCTCCTTGGCGTATGGGACCTTCCCATACCAGGGATCAAACCTGTATCCCTTGCATTGGCAGGCGGATTCTTAACCACTGGCCCACCAGGGAAGTCCTGCGAACTATCTCTGGATGGCAATTTCTCCCTAGACCCTGGGCCCAATTCCATCTTATGCGTTGTATTGTTATTCATATCTCTTTGGTCTCCTTTAATCTAGACCAGCTCCTCAACTTCTATCTTGGGAATATCAGCATTTCTAAAGTGTTCAATCCAATTGTTTTGGAGAATGTCCCTCTGCTTTGGTTTGTCTGATATTTCCTCATGATTGAATTCTGAATATGCATCTGGAACAGACATGCCACTCAAGTGACATTGGGTCCTCAGCGTCTCCCATGAGAAGGGACGTGGAGTCTGTAATGTTAACTCTGATTGCTTGGGAGAAATGGTGGCCATCTGCCACCATTCTCCACTGTACAGTGACCAGCTTCCTACCTGTAATGAATGAATAGTCTGTACAGAAAGAGGCTTCGGCGCCAAAACAGTCCTCAATGTTCAACCAGTGTCTGTGGGTAAGAAAGGCAACTCTCCAGAACCGGACATAGAGGATGGGCGCAAAGAGACCCCCAACTACACAGCCTTTGAGAAAGTGAAGCCTTTGGATTTGGAGTCTCCAGCAATGGAAGGTAAAACACCACACCACCTCCTGGCACTCTTTGGTGTCAGGCCCCCGTACAGTGAGATAAGATCCAGACTGCAACATCAACAGACAGATGCTCACCAGGCCCTCTTCAGTTTGAATTAATATTTAATTTTACAAGTAAACATAAGGACATTATCCTTGTTAAACATTAAAACACTACAGCTACAGCTAGAGTTGACTTTGAATAAACCCCTATCCTGTCTTCTCCCCCTTCTCCAGGGGTAACCACTGTTACCAGTTTCTTCTAGACTGTATTCTATGTATCTATGTATTTCTTTGTTCCACATAGACATATATATACACACACTTAACATATATGAGAAAAACGTTCACTGTTGCAAAAACTAATTGTCCCTAATACTTATTCCCCTTTGTTTCCTTTTTTTAAATAATGAGTTTTGAGTATTTATTACATCTCAGTTTTCTGTTTTTTAGCCCCACACCATGTGGCACATGAGGCATGTAGGATCTTAGTTCCCCACTCAGGAATCAAACCTGTATCCCCTACATTGGGAGCAGAGAGTCAACCACTGGACCCCCAGAGAAGTCCTCCTTGGCTTCCTTTTAATAACAGGACCCCATCAAGACATAGCCAGCACATGGCTGTCCAGCTACAGACACTTCCCAGCCTCTTTTGCAGCTAAGTGTAGGAATACAACCAAGTGTTAGCCAATGGGTTGCAAGCAGAAGTGATGTAAGCTCTGAACTACATTTTTTTTTTAACCACTACACCTGCTATTTCTAGCTATTCAGTTTTCACATGTCAAGGCAACCACATTTTTCTAAGTAACGGTTTGCCCTCCACTCTTTCTTTCCCTGGCTGGCATATGGCAACAATGGATCCAGTTACCTAGAAACTGGAAGTGGAAGCTACATGGTACAAATGACAAAGCCCACAGTGCCCTCTTCAGCCAAACCAACCTGTTAAAACATGAACACCAGTCCTTTAGCACTCCTCACATAGAGGAGTGGTATCTCTTTTCAGTCTCCTTAAATGCAAGTAGGCTTGTGGCTGGTCTGACCAATAAAATATGTCAGAAGTACCCCCCCAAAACAAACAGTCCAATTAAAAAATGGACAGAAGATCTGAATAGACATTTTTCTAAAGAAGCCATACAGATCACCAACAGGCACATGAAAAGATGCTCAACATCACTAATCATCAAGGAAATGTGAATCAAAACCACAGGGAGATATCACCTCACACCTGTCAGAATGGCTATCATTGAAAAGACCTCAAATAACAAATGCTGGCAAGGATGTGGAGGAAAGGGAACCTTTTTTGCACACTGTTGGTGGGAATGTAAATTGGTGCAGCCACTGTGGAAACAGTATGGAGGTTCCTCAAAAAAACTAAAAATAGACCTACCATATGATCCAGCACTTCCACTCCTGGGTTTGTATCTGAAGGAAATGAAAACACTAACTCAAAAAGATACATGCACCTCAATGTTCATAGCAGCATTATTTATAATAGCCAAGATACGAAAGTAACCTAAATGTCCATCAGCAGATGAATGGATAAAGATGTGGTACACACACACACACACACACACACACACACACACACACACACACACAGAGGAATTCTATGCAGCCATAAAAAAAGAATAACATTTTTGC